CGCGTGCGCCAGTCAGTCGGGATGATGATGATGGTGATGATGAGGATAATGACGATCATGATGACGATGATGATGGTGATGATGATGATCGTGATAATGATGATGATGATGATGATGATGATGATGATGATGATGATGATGATGATGATGATGATGATGATGATGATGATGATGATGATGATGATGATGATGCTGATGATGATGATGATGATGATGGTCGTGGTTATGATGATGCTGCTGATGATGGTGGTGGTGGACATGATGATGATGCTGATGCTGATGATGATGGTGGTGATGTTGCTGATGATGATGATGCTGTTGCCGCTGATAATGATGATGCTGTTACTGATGATGATGATAACGATACTCATGATAATGATTATGCTTGCGATGGTGCTGATAATACTGATGATGATGATGGTGGTGATGATGATGATAGTGTTGATGATAATGAGGGTGACGATGCTGATACTGCTGATGCTGATGATAATGATGATGGGGATGGTGGTGATGATGATGATGTTGGTGATGATGGTGATGACCCTTTCGATGGTGACGACACTGATTATATAATGATGATGATGACGATGTTGATGCTAATGGTGGTGATGATGATGCTGGTGGTGCTGATGATGGTGATGATGATGCTGATGGTGATAATGGTGGTGGTGATGATGGTGGTGGTGATGGTGATGATGCTGGTGATGCTGATGCTGATGATGAGGCTGCTGATCTTGGTGATGGTGATGATAACGATGATGGTGATGATGATGGTGATGATGATTATGAGGAGGAGGAGGAGGAGCAGGAATGAGATGGAGGAGGAGGGGAAGGAGGAGGAATGAGGACGATGAGGATGAAGAGGAGGAGGAGGAGGAGGAGGAGGAGGAGGAGGAGTAGGAGGAGGAGGAGGAGGAGGAACAGGGAAAAGAGGAACAGGAGGAGAAGGAGCATGAGGAGGAGGAGGGGGATGAAGAGGAGGAAGAGGAGAAGGAGAACAAAGGCTATCGCTCGTTCTGGCCTGCTCGGCATGGCCTGTCAATCTCGCGCCGTCCTCAGGAAACCTGGGGTGGGTGGGGGGTGGGGGGTGGGGCGCAGCGTGCTGTAGCGCTCTGGTTCCGCTGCGCCCTCCTTCTTCGCAGCTCCTGGGCGAGCGCCGGCGCTCCACGGGTGGCAGATGGCCGAGGAGGAGGAGGAGGAGGAGGCGGAGGAGGAGGAACACGAGGAGGAAAGCAGGAGGAGGAGGATCGCACGCCACTGAGGGAGAGATAGCGAGAGAGAGAGTTCGACGGTCAAGAAAAAACCCAGGGGGGGTCCATCGGAGAGGAATTTCTTGCCGCCCTGGCAGGACAGCCAAGACCTGCCAAGGGCCAAGACAGGACCCCCCCTAGGAAACAAACTCACCGTCCAAGTCTTCGTCAGGCAGGTCAGCCTGCTCCTTCTGTCGAACTCGGGCCCCCCCAAGCTTCTAGCCTCAGACTCGTTGAGGCCGGAAGCCTGCATGCAGTCAGCCAGACACCAGCCTCGCTTTGCCGCAGGCCGCGGAGCAGCACCGCCCCGCCCTCCTCCTGGCTGGGCCCCTGGTTCAACGAAGCCTCCCGCGAACAGCGCCCGCGCCAGGACACCAGGGGACACCCAGGGGCCCAGTCTAAGAGGGCGGTTCGGATGCTTGCTTTTGAAAAACGCACGCTTGTTTTTTCCCGCCCAGGGCCGACAAGGGCCACTTGGGAACCCAGACGCCAAGACCTGAGGCCTCGCGCCCCAAGGGAAATGGTCGCATACGCTCCACAAGCGGAACAAAACAAAAGCGGGGCCTGGCCATCTGGAAGCACTGGGAACTCCAGAAGATGATGGCCTCCATCGGCCCACGGGACTTGAGCTGCATGAGCAGCTTGACTGGCCAACTCGGGCGCCAGGGGCTCGGGGGGGCCTGGAAGGGGCGAAGGAGGGGAGGCTGAGCGGGAGCAGCAGCAGCAGCAGCGGCAGCAGCCACCTCCTCGTCCACTTTCCTAGCCTCCTCCACGGCCAGATCCCACCAGGGGTCCCCCTCCAGGGAAACCAACGGTAACCACATGGGCCCCGATGTTGTCATACTGGCCTTCTTCGGAATAAAGGACTTCAGCACGAATGACCTATTTAGTCAGCAGGCGCGCCAAAACGAACATGCCCTTGGCTAAGAGAGTGTCCGCTGGGTCGTGTCCGCTGAGGGAGGCCCCTGCTTTGGCTAGACGGTCAGCCTGGGAATTGTCAGTTTTTTTCCTAAGAACGAGATCCCCCCCTCTCGAACATCGACATCAGAGGCGTGGGCCAAGACTTTTTTCCACGCAGTGCCATCTAGCGAGCCCTGGGAGAACGTTTGGCTCCAGAGGTGAGCTCTGACATTACTCGAGCGAGAAGCGGACCGACGGTCAGCGACACTCTGGAGAGTGCCCTTGCAACCAGAATGCAAAGTGGAAGAACCGCATGCGGAACGAGCGGCCGCAACAACAGCGAAGTCCTCGCCATCTCTGGCTACTTGGTCTGGGCACCGCATGGGAATGACTGATCCGTACCACCTATCCACCCAGCGGCGCCCATGGTCATAGACGGCAATCCCCCAACCCGCGGTCCGAAGGGCGGGGGGGAAACAAAAACACATCCATGCCCGAACCGTCACAGCAAAACGTGTCCCCCTTGGAGCATTAGCGGTGCACCCTGTCCTTCAACCCTGAACTCCCACGACTGGTCCCAAGGCCGACGCGAGAGAAGCTGGCAGGGGTCAGGGAGGATGCCTCTGGCGAAGCGCTCCTTGAGGTCCACGGGACAAAAAGACGGACGGTGGGCAGCGGCTTTTACATCACCAGGTAATTTGTCACGTCGCCAGGCAGCTCTGGCTGGACAGCAGCAGTGCCTGTGAAAGAGGGTGCCCTGTTCCTCACAGAGCAGACACCTGTCAGAGAGATCCTGGTCGTGCTGGTGCAACCTGTGCTGGCACCTGTGTGACCCTATGACAATTCCCCCCAAGGTTCGCTGCTGGCGAAAACCACAAACACCCCCAGTCCCAACCACCGCCTCACCACCAGAAGCGTCATCAGCGACCTTGAGGTGAAGGGGCTCATTAAGCGGGCGCCAAAAGATGTTTCCCACCCAAGACCCCCCACCCCCCACCTTAGCCAGGCCAGCCGCATCCGAATGCCGTCTGGCAGCAAAGCGGGCTCGTCGGGCAACGCAAGCAGGCGGGCCATCACGAAGGTCCCAGATCTCGCCCGAGGCCTCCTGGACCCTATGAAGGGTCTGAAAACTCGAAGCCCACACGGGCTGCCGTGAAGGCCAGAGCGGCCACGGGATCCTCTATTGGGGCCCAAGGCTTGGGTTTTTCCGCCGTGGCAAAGGCAGCCGGAAACAGAGCCGCAAAAACAGGGTCCGTCAGAAGGCCGTCTTGGAGGATGTTAATATAAGTTCTGACCGCATCAGCCGTCAACAAAACGAGAGGATCACGAGCCCAAGCTCCTCTCGAGCACATGGAGGCCAACTCAAGTGAACAGCCTCTCGGCAGACGCCCCTCCGCACGGAGCGCTGGAACTCGGAGGCTCTCTTTCATTTGCCCGTGGTGAGACCTTGAACGCTGGCCCCCGCAAAGTTTTGGCCGAGACCCCAGCCCCGAACAAATTGCCGACGGACGCTCCGGCATCCCTGAAGGCCAAAATCTCTGAAACTTCCCTCTGGGCCTCTAAGAACCTATCCTGGTGGGTGGTGGCTCGACGGCGGGGCCCATCGGTCGCATCTCCTCCCAAATCTCTATGGACCTGGCATTTGACTTCGGGCGGCAGATTACAATCGTCCACAACCTGTTCCGCCAGCGCCCTAGAGGAAGACAACAAGCCGAGCTTCTTGAGGGCAATGGGCAGACCCTTGTTTTTCAAGCCGGTCACAATGGCCACGCACGCAGAGAGAAGTTCGCGCCTGATCGTGCCAGCCCCGCCCACAACGTGCAGCGACACGTCGTCAATGACACTTTTGAGCCAGACAGCGGGGCTGGCATGCGCAGCACGGCGCAGGCAGGCCAGCAACAGGAGGCGCGCCAAGGATGTGGCTCCCGAGCAGCCTGCTATCACTGTACCGTTGCAAAAAAATCGCGGCTGCTTGACCCTTGCCAAGTCACTCGACGGGGCGCTCGATACAATGCGCAGCAGGCACGTAGCAACGGCAAGGGGAAGTCCGCATGTTCAGCTGCTGGGCGCAGCTCCCGGTGCGAGATGTGCTCATAAAACTTGCGGAGGTCCAAAAACAAGGTGCAAGTCTCCAGCCCTGGGGCCACCCTCGCATGCGCGGCCGGGGCGCCGTGCACCTAGGCGCTCTTGTCGCGGGCAGTGCTCGTGCTCATTCCCCAGAAGAACCGAACGTCCAAAGAGCGCCCTCACTCCGAGCACAGCCAGTGGCGGATACTGCTCCAGACCCAAGCCCACAGGGGGCAGCAATCCTATGGGTCGCAACTCCACCTGAGCCTCGTCTAAAAAGACAACGAGGACAAGCCACATTGGGCCAACCGAAGGGCACTTTTCCCAAGCATTCAGGACGTCCACAAAAGACTGGATCAGAGGCCTGGACAAATCAATGAACAACCTGGAACTGAAAGAGTCCCAGTCCAGACAAGTGGACGGCGAGAAAGTTGCCACTGCTTCGAAGGCCTGCACTTCCGCGGTCTCCGCGAAGTCACCCTGGACAGGCCAGCTCAGCGGGCTTTCCTCCCCTTCCCTGGATGGATTGCTACAAATGGGGAGCCACTGCTTGAGCGTCTGGTCGGGGGCCTCTTGCCCGACCAGCGGGGGCGGTCGAGAAGACGAACCCTCATCCTTCTCCTCCATGTCAACAGAATCGGCAAAAACAGGCAGGGGCGGATGAGCTCGGCCTTTACTGAACTTGCGCGCAGCCCGAGACCCCCGCTCGACGACAGACGACTGGGCCCAGGACCGCCACTTCTGTCGACACTCGGCCGCCTCCTGCTTCACCATGCGAGTGACTTCGTCCTGCAGCATATCCGCCAACTGCCCTCGACGATCGGGCCCGCTCAGCTCTTCAGAAAGGGGGGCCAGGGCCAGGTCGCGTAGCCCTTCCACGAGAGCCGACGGGAAATAATCGCGGAGGGGGGCAGCCGCGGATTGCACTTGCTGCGCCTCGCGACCTTCCACAGTCTGCAGGGCCAGGCGCCCGGGAGAAAGCCGCTTGTGCGTTAGAAGCTTGGAGCGCACGTGCAGCTCTTGGCCCCGAGCCGCTTGGGGCGGCACTAGCTGCAGCTTGCAGCCTCGAGAGCGCCCCGAACACTTGCGACCCTGGATTCCGTGGACCTCGCAGAGGGCCTTCGCAGCTGCGTCAAACCAGCGCGCAGCCGCAACCTGAGGGTCCAGGCCCAGGAAATTGCGACCATCCCTGGGGCCCGAAAAAACATCGCCCCCTTCTCCTCCTTGGAACTAGGAAGAGGGAAAAGCCGAGGAACAATCCTCCCCCAGACCTTGGCCGAGCCAGCCAGGCCCCGCGGCGCAAGCTCGACATTTAGATGCGGGCCGACGGGGGTGCCCACGGTCGCCTGGCACCAGCCGACGTAATAGTCCAAGCAGGAGCTACTGACTAACAAATCGTAGCACCTCCCATGGCAAGTTGGGACCGCTGGCCTGACGATGCTCGCGCCAAGACGGCCAGCCTACTGAGATTGGCGGAGCTCTTCGGCGTCGACATTCCAATCGCCAGCAATAACGAATGGTATGCCAGCCTCTGTCACAAACGCGCTGACCTGGTCGAGGAAGTCCTGGTTGGCCCCCGCAACGCCGAGGGTGGCGCGCCTGTGCGCGGGCGCAAACAGGACTTGGTTCCTCCTGGAGGCTGCAACTCTCCGCCCAACCAGCCTGTGCACCACATTGGAACGTTCATGATCGGCCGAGCCAAAGTGTGCCTTGACCAACACGGCAGTGCCCCCATACGTCTCCCGCTCACCGTCGCCTGTCTTGGCCGCCGCCGCGAACGAGGACTGATAGCCCGCATTGTAGGCCCAAGGCCGAGGACCTGCAAACTGCGGCAGCTCCAGGCGGTGTCCCTGGAAAACGACAGCATCGTCGACAACCGCTTTGGCCTCCTTGGACCACTCCAGGTGCTTGGGGCCAGTGGCCCAGGCGTTAGAGCTGCGCGAGAGAATCCCGAGCTCAGCCTGGCCACCGAACTCAGAGGGCAAACCTGCGCAGCCAACGGTCTCCACGGGAGCCGAAGGCCCAGCTCGCGAACTCAATCCCGAGCGAGAAACCAGACCAGCAAGCGCCCGCGCACCGCCAGCCCGGGATGGGTCGCTCGACGGCACTGGGGCCGCAACATGGCGGAGGCTGGGCAGGGGGGGGGGGGCATCGGCCACCCGCATGCCTGCGGCTTCCAGCGCAAGCTCGCTACCCTCTCCCTGGATGGTCTGCCCGGGCCCAGGGCCTCTAGGCCCCCCGAGGACGGCTGCGCGCCCCAAAAAGGCCGCTCTCCTGCGGCGGTCCAGCAACGCGCGGAACATGCCGATGACGCTCTGCAACTGGGCTGAGTGGTGCTCAGCAGAAGGTCGCCAGACCGCGTGCGCCAAAATGCCGCATCATGGTGATGAGCCTGTCGCGCTGACCCCCGCCTCGGGCCCGCGCGGAGAGGCGCGCTTCACGCGCGGCTTCATCGATGAAACCTCCAGGGATATCTCGACGTACTGGACTGTACCTCAGCAGAAAAAGCTTGCCTAAGCACTGCGTTCCCAGGCTGCCGTGAAACTGCATGGAGCCACGGCTCACACCAATCCATCCAAGACGGCATGTCCTAAAAAGGTCCGCCTTCCAGGTTCCAGGTCCAACAGGCGCCCCAGCCAGACATCATGATGACGAAGTCCCTTCTGGCTTGGTCAGGATCTGGCCGAGGTGGGGGAAACATGCGTGGCGGCGGTGAGCCCATCAATTTGTCGGAGTCAAACACGCTTCTGGGCCACGCGCTGTCGGGCCGCTGCCACTGCTGCCGCCGTTTGCTCTGCCGTGCGAGCTCCTCCTCCTGCGCCTGCTGCTGCGCTGCCGCTGGCTGCAGTAGGGGTGGCTCCGCCCCCCGCAGGCGCGCCGCTGCTGTCGGCGTCAGCAGAAGACACGGCGACCGCCAGCAGGCTGTGCTGGAGCGGGCGCCGCCCGGGCGCTCCCAGCCTCGGCACCTGGGGGCGCGGGGCGCAGCGCTGGCTCCTCTCGCCGTGGCCGCTTGGAGGCAAGGCGCTCCCGCATCTCTCGGGCCTCCTGGCGCAGGGTCTGGATCTTCTCCGCGTTGGGGCCGATCGCCGACAAGACGGCCGCACGGATCTCTTTGCCCATATTGGTCTTGATATCCTGCCAGCGCTGCTTGTCCGACTCCTCAACCTCCAAATCCGACAGATCGAGAAGGTCTCCGTCCACGATGTCGACCGTGTCCGCCTCCTGGCAGGTGTGGGGGGGTGAGGCAAAATGTCGGTGCGAAGCACGGTCTTACACTCCACCAGAGCACGCCGTAGGCCTCACCAGAAACGGCGGCGAGAAAACGATCGTAATGTGGACGAAGGACCACGAACTTGTATGCGAGAATGCGCTTGGCAAGCTGGCGCCGCCGCCTGGTGGCAGCAGCGTGAACGTCGCTGGGCACGCCGGCGGGGACGTCCCACGCTGCGCGGATCCACCCATTCAGCAGAAGGGCTGAACGTTCAGGCTCGTGTCCGCCTCCTCTGCGTGGAGCACGTGGGACATATAGATCTGCGAGCCGCCTGCAGGTGCCGCAGCCGACGCGGCCGACACCGAGCTCGGGGGCCGACCTCCTCCAGCCCGACCGAGCTCCAGCTGCAGTTTCGCCTGCCACTCCAAGTTGGCCTGCACCGCCGACTCCGCTGCCTGCGCCGTGGCCGCACGGCACTCTTCGAACCACAGCTTGGCCTCGTCCTGCTTGGCCACGCACTGCTCCAGGTACGCCTCGGCTCGGCGGCAAGCCACGCCCTTGGCCGAGACCTGAGCCTCCAGCAGCGGTGGCCGCGCAGGCTTGACCTCCTGCGTTGGCCCCTGGGGCCCAATGGCACACCCCAGCGCCTGGAGCTCCTGCACAGCCGCCGAGCCAGCCAGCCGCTCCTTGAGCTGCGCCAGGAGGTCGACCGTCGCGAGGCCGCCATCCACCGCAGGCGCCCCCCGCGGCGGAGGCGTGGAGCCGCGGTGCCCAGAGAGGGCCTGCGGTTTGGGCCCCCACTGCCACTCGCCTGGAGGGACCGCTGGCGGCCGCTGAGCCCCGAGATGGCCGCCACCTCCTTGGGCCCACACTCCTTGAGCCGTATCACGCCACGGCATTTCGAGCGGGGCGAGCGTGGCGTTGCAGTTGAAGCAGGACGTCCTGGACTTCCAATTCCACCAGTACCCGCACGACACGCAAGAGACGAAGTTCTTTGCATCATGCTTGCCCATGGGCTCCTCCAAGGGCTCACAAGAACAGACTACGTGCCCGCTGGCACAGGAGGTTGCAATACCGATGCTCCGACAGAAGCTCACAAAATATCCTGAACACGGGGCTCAAGGATCGCAAATGGGGGCGCACCTCCCCCTTGCCACTCTCAAACCTAAACCGCTTTGCTCGGGACTTGGAGCCAAAACGGCTACGGAGGAGGAGGAGGAGGATTAGGAAGGAGGATGATGAGGTCCAGGAGGAGGAAAGGGATGATGATGATGATGATGATGATGATGATGATGATGATGATGATGATGATGATGATGATGATGATGATGATGATGATGATGATCATGATGATGAGGAGGAGAAGGAGGAGGAGGACGAAGACGAGGAGGAGGATGAGGAGGAGAGTGTGCAAAACGAGGAGAAGGAGGAGGAGGGATGGGGCGGAAGAGAAGTGCAGACAGGAGAGGAACGGCGGGTTGAGGGGGGGCGAGGGGGGGCGTGAGAGGGGAAAGGGGGTGGGCCGAAGGGCAGCCGCGACGGAGGACCCAACACGCTACACAACTCATCCAGCGTGAGGCTGGGGTAACGGCGACGGCCGCGCTGTGCTGCTGCTGCACCTTCACTGGATAGGAGACTGTACTGAATGGTGGGCTCGTGCAACGCGCTGTGGTCGGGAACGTAGAACTTGGTACCGCCCCTCTTCCTCCTCCTGCTCCCTACTCCTCTTCCTGCTGCTTCTCCAGCTCTTCCCATCCCCCATTATCCCTCCCCCATCTCCTCCGCTACTCACTTCTCCTTTGTACCTCTCTGTTTCCCATCTCGTTCATTCCTCCTCCTACTCCCTCTCCAAGTGTGGATGCTGCTGTCCCTCCCTTCTCGGTGGGCGGTTCGCAGTGGTGGCTCTATATGGCTCTCTCTCTGTCGTGTGAGTGCCTGCCATGTTGGCTTGCGCGGCTTGCCCCTCGAAAATCGACAGCACAGTCCTGCGACGCGTCGTGCCCGGAGCTCCGACGCTGTCATGTCCAAGCCGCCTCGCGTGCACGTGTGCAGCTTCGCCCAGACATTTAAGCATGCATCTACAACATAAGATGTGTTTTCTCCTCTGCCAGGTCTTCATATGTATATATATATATATATGTATGTCTCTCTCTCTCTCTCTTTGTCTCACTCTCTCTCTACCTATAGACACACCTCACACCGAGAGGATCACCCTATGGGTGATAAGGAGGTTGGGGGGGAAGGGTGAGGCGGTCGATTTGCGATGGCTCTGGGTTCTTGGGTGGTTTCTTCAACTTTCCCATTATCGTGCACATCTGCCCATACATGTATCGACCTTTCTATCTAGCTATCTATTTACGACAACCCTCGATCTGTAAATCTTTAGATGTCTAGATGAATATGTCTATCAGTGCTTCAGGCAATCCATCTGTATGTATAACAGTACATCTATCAATAACTCTACCTGTCTATCAATATACATATATATATATACATATGGAGAACATGATTCTCAATACATATATATATATATGTATGTGTGTATCTCTTCATAATTTAGGTGTGTATATATATATCCATATATATATGTAGATATCTTTGTATATCTGTATATATATATATATATCGATCGACCATCGGGACTACCATCGGGACAACCATCTGGACAACATCTATCTATCGATCAACCATCGGGACAACCATCGGGACACGCATCGGGACAAGCATCGGGACAACCACCGGGGCAACCATCAGGACAACCATTCGGGACAACCATCGGGACAACCACAACCATCGGGACAACCGTCGGGACAACCATCGGGACAACCACAACCATCGGGACAACCGCCGGGACAACCGGGGGCCATGCCCGGCGCTCGGGGGGCGGCCCTTTTGGCAATATATGGCCTCTACTATGGACGGAACTCGCGCAACTTCGTCGAAACCGATTTCCTGGTTGGGGTCACTTCCGTTCCAAACCCCCAACCTCCGATACATACATATATATATACATGCATACATACACGAGACACAAGACTGCAGTGGCGCTTCGCGCCATGCACCTTGGTCGTACGCAGGCGGAATGGCAGGAAGGTCAAGTCGACAACTTAGCGATAACTCCTTGTTGCCTTTTCCGGCATCGCCGTTATAATAATGTTACTCGTTATCATTCCTCCATGCTTATTTTGCTCATTCTCGGCATACCCTGCGCATTCTTCCCATCCTCATCAGCTCTTTTTGCGGAGGCTCCTCCATGGAGAGCTTGGGGCCTCAAAAAAAACCATGCAGGCTTTCTTAAGGCCTTCTGGAGGCCTCCTGGGCGTGTTCTGGGGGCCTCTGGGAGCTTCCTCGGGCCGCCCTGCCTCCAACCGCGGTCTCCCTGAACGACTGGGTCACGATTTGGAATGCTTCGGAGAGTGTCTTGGGGCCATCTTGGGCCGCCGTGGGGCTCTCTTAGGGCCATCTTGGACCCCTGTTGTGCCGTTTCTGGGATCTCTTGGACTGCCTGGAAGCCCTTTCAGATGGTTGTGGGGCGATTTGGGAGCCTCCCAGGCGGCTTCGGACGCCCAGAAGACCGCCGTCATGGAGCGTCGGGAAGCCGAAAAAAGAACCCCCAAATCCACCAAAAACCATATGAAAATCAATGATGTTTGCCTCTTGGGGCCTTCTTGGGAGTGCTCTTGGAGGCCTCTTGCGACGTTTTGGAGCGATCTTTGGGGGTCGTTTCTGGAGCGCACCAGAACGCCTGCAACCCGTCTGGGGCCGTCCTCGGGCTC